ATATATATAATTCTCATGTTATAAACAAAGACTATGATAATCAAAGTTCTTTACTACAACAAACAACCCATTTGAAAAAAGGAAAAATATCAAAATAATACTAGTAGAAAAACTACAAAATTCGTATTTTAAACAAATTATTATACCGTAAATAAATCTCTCCATAACTATACATAATTCCAAGAAACTAAAACGCATAAAATAATTTTAAAAAATCTCATATTGAAAGCAGCTATTTTTTTTTTCTCGACATTTTATCATATTTTATGATACAAATATTCTTGCAACATTTACTTGAAAATTACAAATTTAGGCTTTAAATAATTTCTGTAACAATCAAATCTTCCAATAGTGACATTTACTCGATTTCAGAAAATTAACATCCAACATTTACATATTATAAAAAAAGGAAACATTTTCGATAATATTTATTTTAAATACAAAGATGCCAAAAATAACTTTAAAAGTAAATTTTTCGCGATTTATAGTTTATAAAGTACAATCCTCATTCAATAAACAATTACAGTTATAATCAAATCTTTCTATACCAACATCTACCGCTCAAAGAGGGCTTTACTTGATTTTTGTTTAGATATTTACTTTACAACACTCACGGGGTTTTATTTATTTTATTTATATTCACTTTGAATACTAATATGCCGAAAATAATTTTGAATTATATTCGAGATTTATAGTTCTAAAACTGCAAACTTTGTATAGGATATGTGTACTTTGTTTATAAACAAATAACCCAATAATCAAATCTCTCTATACAGACATTACTCGATCGTTATAACGTGGTTTTATTCGATTTTGTTTATTGATATTCACTTTACAATATTCACCGGGTTTTATTTAATTTATTGAAATTCACTTTGAATACAAATATGGAGAAATTCTTTTGAAAGTAAATTTTTCGAGATTTATAGTTTTTGAACCAAAAACCTCATATAATAAACGATTACAGCAATAATCACATCTCTCTATACCGACATAGCTCGATCGGTATAAGCGGTTTTTTTATGTGATTTTTGTTCATTGATATTTAGTTTACAATAATCAAGGGGTTTAATTTATTTTATTGATATCAACTTTGAATACAAAAATGTCAAAAATAGTTTTGAATTATATTCGAGATTTATAGTCTTAAAACTACAAACTTTGTGTTATAAACAAATTCTAAAATAATCAAATCTCTCTTTACCGACGTTACTCGATCGTTTTAACGCGGTTTTATTCGATTTTGTTCATTGATATTTATTTTACAATACTCACGGGGTTTTATTCAATTTATTGAAATTCACTTTGAATACAAACAAGGGAAAATTATTTTGAAAGTAAATTTTTCGAGATTTATAGTTTTAAAACTACAAATTTCATATTATAAAGAATTATCACAATAATTATCTCTATAACGACCTTACTCTATTGTTGAAACGTGGTTCGATATGGTATTCGATTTTGTTTACTGATATTCACTTTAAAATACTCACAGAGTTTTATTTAGTTTATTGAAATTCACTTTGAATACAAATATGCCAAAAATAATTTTGAAAGTTGATTATTCAAGATTTGTAGTTTTATAAGCACAAACTTAGTATAATAAACAATTACTACAATAATCAAATCTCTCTATATCGACGTTACTCGATCTTTATAACGTGGTTTTATTCGATTTTGTTTATTGATATTTACTTTACTCACGGGATTTTATTTATATTCACTTTGAATACAAATGTGCTAAAAATAAATTTGAATTATATTCGAGATTTATAGTTTTAAAAGCACAAACCTAGTATAATAAACAATAACTGCAATAATCAAATCTTACTATATCGACGTTATTCGATCGTTATAACGGAGTTTAATATAAATATCTCACCTGACATCCTTTAGCCGTTTCAATTCACTCATCTCCAATTCAAATCGAAGTTTATTAACATCGCAGAGGAGCGAATCGCGCTCCTCTTTAAGGACCGACAGTTCATTTTCCAATTCCTCAATTCTGATGAACTGACGTTTAATCAACTTATCCTTTTCTTCAATTATCCGTTTTTGCTCTTCGGACGTTTCCATCACGTTAACAACACTGGAGATAATTAGTCACAAAAATAAACACAAACATCCATGATCTCAGGCGAGAATGGGAAAATAATATTAAATATTAAAAAAACACAACATTCCGGCCTTTCGAATAAAAAATAAAATCAAGGGGGTGCTTTGAGACAGGACATCACACTCTCACAATGTGCCTCATGAACGGCGGGACGCCATACTGCCTTAGAGAAGGCCGGCGCTGTTTCTTCGGCTGTCACGAACCCCAAAGTTGCAGGGTTGCCGAGAGTCGTTGAAAAAAATCTAATCCACAACTTCGCCAAGGGAATGTCGATTTCGCCAAACTTTAACTGATGCGAGATCGAATCACTTCAGACCGTGAAATCTAAATTCTGTACACTTATTTTGCTAAGTTTGAATTAAATCTTTAGAACATGTTGTCGACAATGTAGGAAAAGCCGGCATTTTAGTAAATACTCAGACTAGACATTTGTTAGAATGCCTTGCTTTTAGGCTAAGTACAAAATATGAGAATAACTGTGTTTAAATCGTCAGCATTCTATAGAATACAAAAATTTGTCATTCTATAGAATGTCAAATGTCAGAATGTCGATGTGTCAGAATGTCTATAGTCTTAAGGATCAATATGAAATATGAGAATTATTATATACTTTATCTAGATATTTCTGTTACTACCAAAGTTTAAAACGTCAGCAATCTATAGAATACCAAACAATTTATCAGAATGTCTATTGTTTTAAGGATAGATATGAAATATGAGAATTATTATATCATTATCTCGATATTTCTGTTACTACCAAAGTTTAAAACGTCTTCATTCTGTAGAATACCAAACAATTTATCAGAATGTCTATTGTTTTAAGGATCAATATGAAATATGAGAATTATTATATCATTATCTCGATATTTCTGTTACTNTAAAAATTATAGGTCAATATATTCTATAGAATACTAAAAAATGTGTCAGAATGTCTATAGTTTTAAGGATCAATATGAAATTTGAGAATTATTACATACTTTATCTAGATATTGCTACTGCTGCCAAAGTTTAAAACGTCAGCATTCTATAGAATACTAAAAAATGTGTCAGAATGTCTATAGTTTTAAGGATCAATATGAAATTTGAGAATTATTACATACTTTATCTAGATATTGCTACTGCTGCTGAAGTTTAAAACGTCAGCATTATATAGAGATATACAGCATTACAGCGATATACACACATGCAGCGATAGAGCATTATATACATACTTTATCTTAGTAATGTATGCGATACCGCCCAAGTTTGAAACCCGATATTTTTAAAAAATACCAAGAAATTTATTAGAATGTCTAAGGATTTTAATCAAAGTAAGGCAAATGAGAATTATTTTATACTTTATCTAAATAATGTAAGTGATACCGCTAAAGTTTGAAATCCGGTATTCTATAGAATATTTCAGCATTTTATTGAATTCTAAGAACTAATTAGTAAAGTAAGAAAAGATTATGAGTTTGACCCATTGTCTAGCCAATCTAAAAAATGGCAAAACGGCTAAGTATGAAATACAATATTTTTTTAAGTAATATAATAATGATTACTTAATATTAATTGGCAATAATTTTCGGTGTACCTATTACGTTCATATTTTATTTTGCTAACTTCAGTAACAAAGCCATTAAATCTGTTTTCTTAATTTTAATTCTTGTGCTTATTTTGAAAGTGTTTCTTAATAGCAATCTTTTAGTTTTTTAACAATGACAGTTATACTTTGTAGAATGTTAATAACAGTCCTTTAAATAAGAGACTTAACACGACCTTTTTTTTCATTCATACTTTGCTTAAAGAGCGTTTTTCATATACAATCCCAAGGTTAAGAACAAAAAATTCTCATATTTCATACTTAGTCTAAAAACACATTCTATATAAAAATGCCTTTGTATTTTAGATAAAGTTGTTATTTCATACATTACATTTCAGACATTTTCATACATTTTAGATAACGTAAGGGTTTTATATTTTGCTCGGTTTGGGATTTTCCGACTCAGCAGCTTTTAACAATCCTTTCTTAGACATTTCTTAGAATAATAAACAAAACAAAAACCTTGATCCTTTACCTTTTTTAAGTTCAGGTAACAAATTTTAAAACAAATAAAAACTTGCATTATAATTGCGACTTAACTATAACCAATGAGAAAATATCAGAAAAGGAGCTAGTCGATAAAGGTCGCTGGATTGTAAATCAGCTGCCGATATCATATATAATACTCAAGCATCTCGCAGAACGATGAATACTCTTTAAACAAAATATAAGAAAAAGGTCATGTTAGGGCAAGGAAAAAAGGTTATAGAAAGGTTACAAGACCTTCACTCCTCAAAAATTAAAATGTTGTTTCGAAAAAAAATATTGAAAGCGTCCATTACGGAGATTAATTACGTATATTGAAGATGTGTGAAAAGCCGAATTTGGGTTTACTATGACTGTGTGATTTCAAAATATTTTCGTAATCACTAAAATTTGAAATAAATTTCCTTTATTCAAATTTATTATAATGAAAAAAATAAAAAGCGATGACAAAATATTTGTCTATTAGTCTATTTTCTTAGAGGTGATGCATTGATAATCAGAATTGTGGAATCAGATATTGAAATGTTCGACTATGGATACTCCGCAGAGTTTAAGACTCTCACTTCGACTTACACTCGTCTGAAATTTTCACAATTGGGTACATGCAACTCGAGAAGAAGGCGATCTCTGATACACAAACACTTCACCTATGACCTCAACGTTTAGCTGATCGTTTATAAACAAGATGGCGTGTTCACGTCGACCTAAGTTTCTCCTCATAAGTTATAATGTCATTTAAAGTGAACTTAATTAAATACAACGTCATATCGCACATCAAATTTGTTAAAATATAATTCTTTCTCGTCCATGTCTGTTATTTAACTTAGATTTCATATTTGTTTAGGTACTTTATTGTAACCGTGTAATATTTGTTTTGTGTATGTATTTGTCAACTTCGATGTATAATTAGTTAGTTATTGCTCTGCATGGCTTCCTGCTTATCTTTGTGTTAAGAAATATACAGGGATGACAACTGTTCTACTTTCCGTAAAAGTTTTAATAAATTGGTAGCGAATTAAAGAGTAAAAGTTGTAGAATAAGGATAATTACTCCCATTTTTTAATGCGTTACCACGAGAGAACTGCAATAAAATTGCATTGGTTTTACTCGAAATGGAGCTGAAAGAACAGTTGCAAACATAAGCAAATGCCGCGTTCTAACAATCAATCAGGAGCGAGATACCCAATCTATGTCATTTGCAGCTATCTTATTGGATGCACCTCTAAGTGACGTCATAGTAGGTAAATTGTATCATTCGTTGATTCGGAAGCCAATTAGGTTCGGCCCACACGTGTGACGTCGCTAGACGATGTTCGATTATATTTGATTTAAATCACATGGCATAATAACTTCACTTCTTCTCAAGTTGCAAATACTCAATTGAAGAAGTAAAACTTTAAAACTTTTTAAGGCTTTCTATTTTCACAAAATATTGAAATTGAGCAAAACATTATAAGAAAAAAAAGCTAGATATAAATAACTCACAAACACATTCATGCATAAGTAAACATCTTATTAGAGCAAGATTATTTAGTTAATATTCAGGAACTGGGAAACTATAATGATCACATTATATTCAATTATGCATCTTTTTAATGAAATTTTCACCTTAGCCAAACAAATTGGGTGGTAAAACTTATGAATCAATAAATAACCGAACAGTTAATCAAATGAATAATACGTTTAAGTCGACAGATGCTAAAAAATTTTCAAATATGGTAAAGTAAGTTTGTGATAAATTATAGTTTAAATAATCGTCATAATATATATATTTGAGTGATATTTGTATTCTCATAATTAAAAATGTTTATCCAAATAAATTTAATAAAATCAATAAAATCTTTTTTTTTCCTTTTAACCTAATTATCTAACAACTTTTAACTAACCGGAGTCGGAGTTGTGCCATTTGTTTCGACTCCGACTCCATAGCCCTATTTGATAACTACCACAATATATAAATGAAAAAGTATTTATTGCAGTTGTTAGTAATGTGCCTAAACGTCCTCTAATCCTGAGACACATCCTCAAATCAAAAAATTTCAAATGCTTTAAGGACAAGAAATGTACCCAATATATATATATATATACACCCAAGATCTCAATCCTTGCTAACTTCTAATATTCATGAATCATTATTAATAATGTTAAAATTTATTAAGGCTTTCTTTAATAATATTTTTTTTAATTAGTCTCGAATATTGCAATTTCAATCTTGGCTTCCTTAGCAAAGTTCAGTTTCTTTTTCGACAGATCCTTGTTATAAGGAAGAAAGTTCAAATCCTTTCATAGTTATATTAATTTATGTTTGGTGGGTGTCTGTACACAATTTTTTTCTTTTATAGAATATATTTATCATCAAGCAGATAAAATACTTTTCTTGTGATAGAATTTTTATTCAATCAATACAGCATNAGTATATATATATATATATATATATATATATAAATTAAAAATGCGGATCTTTTTTTTAACAAGATGATTTTGTCTTAGAATACCAACGAAAACCAAAAAAGTACCATGTTAAAGTTAATCGCAACAGTCGTCTTAAAATAATTTCAACAAAAAATAAATAAATTTTGATTGAATAGGTTATTATATGACATCTCAAAACTTGTTAATAATGAAATCAAGTTTGATGAAGATGATTCTAGACATGGTATAAGTTATCAATTAAAAAAAAGAAATTCCTTGCTGTACATGTAAATTATTATTTTCCATAAATATATGGTGCCCTGTTGGTAACATTTTTTGAGGACGTCTGCAGATTTGTCCTCAAATCATGGTTTATAAATCTGGTCACCTTAGGTGTTAGGCTAAATTTGGTAACTAATCAACTAAAGAAAAAAATTGTTTCTTTAGTCGAAAACTTCTTAATCCTTGTAAACATTCTCC